TCTCTCAGACTTTTCTTACGTCTCTTCTCGAGCTAATTTCTTTTTCCCTCTCTCTCCTCTACTCTCACTCCGCTCCTCTGTCTTCGTCTCTTCTCCTCTCTCTTCTACCCTCTCTCTCTCTTTCTTTCTTCTTCTTCTTTCTTTTCTTTCTCTCTCTCTCTTCTCCTCTCACCTCGCTCTCTCTCTCTCTCTCTCTTCCTCTCCTCTTCTCTCGTCTCTCTCTCTCTCTCCTCTCTCCTCTTTCTCTTCCTCTCCCTCTGTCGTCTCCACTCCCTCCCTCCCCTCTCTCTCTCTCCTCTCTCCTCCTCTCTCTCTCTCTCTCCCCTCTCTCTCTCCTCTCTCTCTCCTCTCTCTCTCTCCCTTCTCTCTCCTCTCTCTCTCTCTCCTCTTCCCTCTCTCTCTCTCTCTCTCTCTCTCTCTCTCTCTCTCTCTCTCTCTCTCTCTCTCTCTCTCTCTCTCTCTCTCTCTCTCTCCTCTCTCCTCTCTCTCTCTCTCTCTTCTCTCTCTCTACTCTCTCCCTCTCTCTCCCTCTCCTCCCTTCTCTCTCTCTCTCTCTCTTCTCTCTCTCTCTCTCTCTCTCTCCTCTCTCTCTCTCTCTCTCTCTCTCTCTTCTCTCTCCTCTCTCTCTCTCTCTCTCTCTCTCTCTCTCTCTCTCTCTTCTCTCTCTCTCTCTCTCCTCTCTCTCTTCTCTCTCTCTCTTCTCTCTCTCTCTCTCTCTCTCTCTTCTCCTCTCTCTCCTCTCTCTCCTCTCTCTCTCTCTCCTCTTCTCTCTCTCTCTCCTCTCTCTCCTGCTTCTCCCCTCTCTCTCCCTCCTCTCTCCATCCTTCTCTTTCTTCTTTATTGTTTTATTCTTCTCTTTCTTCTCTTTCTCCGTCTCCATCACCTTGCCTCGCTTTTCTTAGCTTCCCCAAGATTTCTAATTCATTCTCTTCACTCTCCCTCCACATCCCACTTGACTCCTCTCCTCACCCCCTCAAGCTCTCTAATCCCCCCCCCCCCCCCTCCAAGCCTCCCTTTGTCTAATTTTATTCTTCCTTGTTCTCTTCCACCTTTTCTCCTATTACTCACCTCTCCTTTCCTCTGTCCTTTCTATCTCCTGCCATCGCTCCTCTCTCTCTTCTTGCCTGTCCCCCATCTTCTCCTCCTTCCCCTCCTCTGTCCCCGCTCTCACTCCTGTCTCTCCCTTTCCCTCGTCTCCCATCCGTCTCTAGTTTCTTCTTGCTTATGTTCTTTTTTAGAGTGAAGATCGCCGTCCTCCTTCCGCTCTCCCCTCCCCCCCCTCCCCCTCCTAATCTCCCCCGCCCCGCCCCCCTCCCGCCCGCCCCTTCTCAAGCCTTTGGTCTCTAAGTTCACTCTCGTATTTAATTTTATGCAGTGCGGATTACTTGTCCTGCTTCCCGTTTCTCCCATAGTTTCGTTAGCTCGTTTCCTTTCCTCGTGTATCTTCGTTTTCTTTCTCTTTCCTTCTCTGCTAGTTTCTGTTTCTCGCTTCCTCTTTTTTTCTCGTTCTGGATGTTCCCTCGCGCTCTCTCTCTCTCTCTCCTCTCCCCATCTCTGTTTCTTCCCTCTCTTTTCCCTTCCCCCTCCTTTCCCCTCCCCTTCCCTCCCCCCTCCCCCTCCCCTCCCCTCCCCTCTCCCCTCTCTCTCACCCCCTCTCTCTCCTCTCCTCTCCTCTCTCTCCTCTCCTCTCCTCTCTCTCTCTCTCTCTCTCTCTCTCTCTCTCTCTCTCTCTCTCTCTCTCTCTCTCTCTCTCTCTCTCTCTCTCTCTCTCTCTCTCCCTCCCTCCCTCCCCTCCCTCCCTCCCTCCCTCCCTCCCTCCCTCTCACTCCCTCATCCCTTCTCTCATACTCTTCCTCCCTCTCTCATTCTCTTCCTCCCTCTCTCTCTTTCTCTCTTTCTCCCTCTCTCCCCTCTCTTTCACTTTCTCTCCCTTTCGCTCTCTCGTTCACTCTCGATCTCCTTTTTTCTCCCCTTCTCTGCTCATCTCTCCTCTTCGCTCTTTCTCTCTCCTGTGCCTCTCCCTCCCCCCTCCCCCTCTTCCCCTCCGAGCCAGACCAATCTCTGGCGCATTGTCTTGATCCTGCCACGTCGATACCACTGCGGCGTGTGTATGCGTGTGTAACGTCATGTCTGTTATGTTTATGTATGCGATTATGGCCGTGTATGTGTTTGTCGGATTATATATCCACGTCAAAATGATAAAGAAGTTGAAAAGAATAGATGTGAGAATAATTTAAAGAGTTCATAGTCTACGTTCAAACATGTCCACGCTCACACTTGGCGCACACACATGTAGACACAAAACTCCCGGACAAACGCAAGCGATCACAAACAGATTGAGACTTTTATATATGCACACACAGGTATAGACACGCGCGCGCACGCACACACGAACGCACGCACACACGCAACGCACGCACCACCACCACACACGCCACCACGCACCACGACACACACGCACATCACGCACCACACACACACACACACACACACACACACACACACACACACACACACACACACACACACACACACACACACACACCACACACACACACACACACACACACACACTCGTTAAAGAATCCGCTGAACACACAAACAAACAGACACTACAAGCAGGAATGAGACATAAAAAGAAACAGGGAAAGAGAGAAAAGAAGAGAGGTGTTTGTTTCCATGTATTTGCAACTTCTCGCGCATCATACTGACGTCAAGACATGAGATCCTGCATGTCATTACTGTGAGGGGAGTTGGTGTGGGAGAGCGTGTTTGATTGGATGTGCTGGTAGCACGGTGTTGATTAAACGGCATTTCCTAATGATTGAACGCCGGGCAAAAGTATCGGGTTGTCCGTTTCCGGCTAAAAATCTGTCGCTCTTGGAGGAAAGTCGCCTCCGCCGTGGGTAGTTCAGGTGGATGCGAGAGGCCGCGATTCAGCAGCGTCGGCGTCATCCCGGCGTGGTGATTTTCCTTTCGGGAGCGCACACTCATCACTTATTGTAATAGGCGTTAATTCCGTAGATTTATGTATTGTATCGGGAATATATTGATGGAGATGGAGCTCTCTGCAGGAAA